ATAGTCCACTATTGGTGCATTAGATAGATACGAGTACAAGATTGCACTTAACTGTTAGATTGCACTTAATTCAATTGTCCAAACTATTAGGTTACACGATTTTCAATAAAGTGTATGTTTAAAAAACTCCCGCTTTTTATATGGTAATTCCATGTTTGTAACTAATGTCAATCTAGAACTCCATGATATTTGTTGACCTCGCAAAATTACCCTTACGTATGGGCAATACTAAAAAGGTCAAGCACATAGCAGACATCGTATAGCCTCTTTGTTGTGCTTCAATTTGAGCTTAGGGGGCATATGTACTCTAGGAATCTTTGATATAATGAAAGCACCACATAGAAGGGCTACAAACCATACCACCTTGGCCCTTATAAATACTAGTAAGTTTCAAGAAGAGAGGTAATAAATACTCTGACTTTGAATATTTTTCCCACCACTGACTTAAGTGTCAAAGTATCATTGCAGATATTCCCTCTTCAATCCAAATCTAAGAACCTTTCGGACTCGGAAACATTCTAAACCTAAGAACTTTTCAGATCCAAAGATCATCAATACTAGAAGACCATACGGATGCAAGAAGTAGAAGAAACTCAAAGCTACACCGTTAAAATATTAGTGTCCAGCCTTATAACAACATGTAATAAAGTGAAAAAAATATATAGATAAATATAAAAATTATTTTAAATATAATTAATTAATAATTATTTTATTGTGACACTTACGGTTTTCAAGTAGAAAATTTTGAAAATTATAAATAAATTATTTAAATCTAATACAGATTACCTTAAAATTTTAAATATATTTTTGGTCCCTAAGAGGATAATTATTTTTTATAATCCTTCAAATAATATTTGAAAAAATTAATACACCAAAAAATCCTTAAAAACAAATAAATAAATTGTCTTTCAAAAACCTATGGTCCATTGATAAACACAGCCCGTCAATGGGTAATATAATTTTTGTACTCTTTGTACCCACCCAACTATAATATCTTATTAAAACTGTAGATTTATCCATTACAAACGACACTTGTATCTTTCACATGTATCATAAAAAGATAATATTAATGAGGAGGGGTGGATCTTGATCATTGATCATAGGGTCAAATAATATATTATTAATAAATAATAAATAAATATAAAAAGAATGGGTCAAATAATATATTATTAATAAATAATAAATAAATATAAAAGGAAGAAAGAAGATAAAAAGTGAAAGGATAAGCTGATATATACTTAAATATATTAAATGATCATTAAGTTTTAGGGGGACAAAATCATAAATTAGATAAGAATTACAAAACTGAGAAGGGGCTCAGAGGATAAAATTGTAAATATACAAGTAAATATATTAAATGTTCATTAAGTTTGGGGGGCCAAAATCATAAATTACATGGGAGTTACAAAACTTAGGAGGGTCACGGCCCTCGACTCCCAAGAAGATTTGTCATCGCTAATGAGGTAAACGAGAAAATAATTGACACCAATTTTATTTTATTTTTACTATTTTTTACATTTCTTTTTAAGACTTAAAAAAACAATTACATTTCTTAGAGAGCTGAATTTTTTAATTTTATTTTTAAGGAAAAAATTATAATTATGTCAATTTAAAGGATTAAAACATTTTAATTTACTTTAATTATAAAAGTTGAAAAGTTTTAAAGATCATTTTTTTCCATAAAAACTGGATTTAGTATTTAATTAATTATCTATTTTATAAAAAATAATCATTAAAAATAATCTATAATTAAAATACTTTAAAAAATCTTCTAAATTTTCTTATTGAATATATTTAATATTATTTATTATTATTAATTACTTTAAATGTATATCATTGTAAGAATATATAATTATATCCCAAATTATTTTGTTAAACATAATATCACATTAATAAGATAATAATCAACATTAAATAGGTATAAATAATTGCTTAAATATCTCATTAAGAGTCCTATAATTAAGATTAATATATATATATATATATATATATATATATATATATATATATATATATATAACACATATTTATATTCATTTTCTATGTGATATCTCAATATTTTTATATATTTTCATCTTACTCTAAGTATTGGAGTGTCTTTACAAGGATATGTTCTACTTTTCCAGAATTCAATAGAGCTCAACTTTGTAGATTTCAAGGCACTTGTTGTCAAGGTTGACCTATCTAAACTCTTTGACCGACCTGATCAAAGGTTATTTATTATTATAACTTATTTGCAAGAACATTTGACATCTACTATAAGACTTGATGAAACATATCTCAAGCAACATTCCCTCAAACTCATCAGTAGTTCTTCCATGTACCGTCATTTACTCTAATGGGACACGTTTACCTAACCCACTTTTTGGCTCTGATACCACTTGTTGGGTCTTTCGAGGGGAGAAACATACCAATGAGATATGAACTCAACCCACATAAAGATTGACACCACTTTCAACCCAAAAACTTTAAGACATTAGATTATGGGTCTAACTTCCTTATATGTTGCTTAACTTTTTCATTCTTACTCAATGTGGGAGTTAAAATCACACTTAGATTACCCATCAGCCATTGTCACCATCAACACTTTGAAATCTCATGGAGGAGATTCAATGGAAAAATGAAACAAATATCCGAGAATCTAGAGGATAGATAAGAAGGAAACGAAAGCCTTTAGGTGAAAAAATGAGGAGGTAGAAAAATAATTGTGTACTTTGACAAAATCTTCCTGAAGATATTACACTCCTTCAATATATCAATCTTCATCATGGTATCAATCACCACCTCATGAGAAAGAAGCTCAAATTGAAGGTGAGTTTCATCGAAGAGTTGCTCACTTTAAACCGAAAGTGTGAGAAGGCCCAACTCTCACAATTAGTGTTGTAAAGCCACTAGTGACATGGTTATTCCATGGTCTTCCCTAATTTTTTTATTTCCTTTTTTAAATTTCATATGTAAAATTCTTAAGAGATCTTTTGTTTTAACTAAAATTAATTTCGACCTAATGCCCACCCCCCCCCCCACCACCTCCTTAAATTTTATGGTTGTCTCGCCTTTGCTCACAATATTCAAGGACAACCAAAACTAAAGTTCGAATGCCCCTTCACTCCAAGATTTATAGCATACTCATTACTCAGAAAATGGAAGTCTCTTAATAAGGAGACGTTCCAAGGTGGAATTGATTTGGACAAGCATATCCGATCTTACTTAATACAAATTAGTATATTCAGTGAAAGTGATGTTTTATGTAGAATTTTTCCTATGACACTAAGAGAAGCAACACTCAAGTATTTTTACGATTTACTTATTGGGTCAATAGAATCATTCAAGTGTTTGACTGAGGAGTTCTAAGCTAATTTTAGAGCTACTAGACCATATCAATCAACCTCTCTCACCCTCTAATGATTAAGACTAGAGCGAGATGAGTTAGTGAGAAAATTAATAGAATGATTCACTGAGATGAGTCTCACCATACATAATTTATTCTAATATAATCATTCACTCTTTGATAGTAGGTTGAGACGATGATCTTTTCTAGATAGTCTATACATGGACTATCCAAATTCTTTAGAGGAGCTTAAAACTCGAGTATGCAAGTTTATACAATTGAAGGAGAATATTGAAATAAAAAAAGACCAAGAAAGAGAATGTCCATCCAATAAATATATGACTTAGATAAAACATTCAAACGAGGTGATAGATGTGAAGAAAAAAAAAATTATACCCTTAAATATCAGTGTTGAAACAACCATCTGAAAAGCATTTAATATGAAAACTTATCAATTACTAGAATCGATAATAACAACCCTTGATGATGCAAACCAATATAAACAATGTGTCTGACATCAAAACTACAAACATACATCGAGAAATAATAGAAAATCTTATTCGAGTATGGTTTCTAAATTGATTTATCTAAGGCTATAAACAAGAGTGAAGATATAGACAATAACACTCTCAACGTTTCTACAACTGAAATATAAATAACAACTTAAATATTCCAATATGAATTTTTTAAATAAGACTATTTTATTCTTTTGTAAACACGTTAATATTCATTCATTATTAGTTATCTTGATATTTTTGTTCTTATACTAATGTTTAAAGTGTCTAGACCTTTTTATAGACTTCAAAGTATTTGTCATCAAGATTAATCTATCTAAATTATTTGACCAACTATTATTTTATTATTATAACTTTTTAAATATATTAATATCTATATATATATATATATATATATATATATATATATATGTTATATAAATTTTTGATGATATTATAGTTTGGTATAAAAAAAATCTGTTATTTCCCTTAAAACTTATACTCAGGCACAAAATAATGTTGTCATTCATTCCATCATAGTGCATGTAAATTATTAACATTCAATTGATGAAAAATATTTATGGTTACAATTTTAAAATTTAAATAATAAAATTAGGTAAACCGAAAACCTAATGGTAAAATTAGCAATGTTAAAGGTTAATAATAAAATTCCCGATTGAAAGTTATAAACTTATAAAAATTGTAATATTTAGTGATACAATGTATAATCAAACGTAATATATAAAAAGGTAACAAGTATATTTAATGTTTTCCTGGAAATATTGCATCATAACATGGCTGACACTTCCTCACCTTTACAGTCAACTTAAATTCTCAATTCCATGAGAATGTTTTGTTAAGATAAACATAATTAAAAGAAACATAATAAATGGTAGTTTGCCAAAAAATGGTTTTTCAAAAAATTAATACCGAAGAAGGGAATCTAACATTCCTAATTTAAAGATTTTTGAGAATCAAGAATTACTCTATCCAACACGCTGAAGTTAAGATCAACCTATTCTAACGACCATTTTCCAAAATACACATACAATCCCGTCCATCCTTAAGTACAAAGACCAAGGGCTTTACAACCCCTTCCAGATTGCATTGCTAGATTCCCTTTTGTTAGTGAATACCCCCAAAATATAACCTATCTATAACTACAAATGGAGCACAAATCAACTGGCTTGGTTTGACAAAACTATTCCCTCAGTACTACCACGCGAAGCACTTCCAGTAGTTGCACAATTAAGAGCCGCACCAGAAGCAGTGTTAGGGCTCCACTGGGAGGGACCAGTGTTCCGTTCAGTTTGATCAACCTGCAAATCAGGCTCAGGTAGCTCAGAAGACCCTTTCAACCAAGGCTTGTTATTGGCGATGTCCTCAGATGCAAGGTGCAATAAGACGTTAGTTGCGGAAGCACCATCACCAGAGGCACAATCACCATTGGGTCTAGAATTACAACCAGAAACACTAACACCATGTACTTCTTTTGTTCCAATAAAGTTCGGTTGACCACAATCATTGTTTCTTCTTAGTCCACAACTGTCAGAAAATATATATGAATCCTGGTGAATAGAGTCAGCAGAATCTTTCGAACCTCTTGTACCAAACGCAGTTTGTGAGTCATCAGCACTATTGTTATTTGACATAACTTCATTTGCTACTTCGACCAAATTAGGGAAGTTTTCAGTAACCTCCAAAGAAACACAGTGCCCTTTTGTAGCCTCAATGCTAATACAAGATGTGGGACATCGTCTTTCCTCACAAGGAACGGTGCAATTGTTCAACTGACTATCTCCAGCTAGGCAACAAGTATCTTCCATGACCGGATTTTCGTCAACTGTCTGACATACAACTTGACATGTGTCATCTTTTGAAGATTGCCTATCATCGTCAATGTTGCTAGCAATGTCAGGTACATTATTCAATGAACCCTTAGGAATATGACAATCAGATTCAGTGGATACGGTTTCATCCTTTATCTGGCATGCATTAGAGCGGGGAGGATCACACCCAGATGAGCCAGCTTCATTGCCATTATTTGCTATTTGATTGCTTTGAAGATTGACAGCTACAAAAATCGTAATAGGCAAAAATCAAGTTCAAATTGTCAAAGAAAACAGATAGCAAATATATCTGTTCCAAGACACAGTGTAGAGGAAAATGTACCTTCTGAAGGAATCGGATTTTGATCAGCCAATTCACGTTTTGATATCTTCTTCTGTAACATATCTACATGAGGAAATACCAACAAATTCATATTATGTATTAATTGCTTGCTTGTTGATTCAAGTGGCTCAAACCCAAAAACAGAAGTCCAAGTTTCTCTGAGTTCTGAGATAGCTGGTATGACCAATAACTCAACATTTAAAGAGCCAAGTCCCTGGTAGTAGAAGAAATAGAACTTTTGATCTCAGAAAAATGAAAGATTAAAAGAAAATGTATGAAATGAGAGAAAAATTGAGAGAAAATGGTGTCAGTCCATGAAAGTATCTATCATCAATCAAACCGCAACATGATTCTTTCCTAGGATAAGGCTAACCATATACTCGGGACACCCAATCTCTAGTGTCTTCACCAAATAGTTAATGAGGAGGGGAAAGTATATTTCAGTGACTATTTATCAATGCTTTGTTTTTACGATTCAGTGCCATCCAAAAACTAAGTTCATTGTTGTGCATGCATACATATATTAATATTAGGACAAAAATGTAACCACAGTAAAATCTACTTTCATTTTCTCTACTTCCCATTAACAAAAACAGGGAATAATATCTAATGTCCCCTTGTTGGTCTTAAACTTCCAAATCCAAAAACAAGGTATTAAACAAACCCAGTCCAATGTCCTATGTTTCTGCATCTAGCCAATAATAGCCCAAAATATTATTCCACCCTTCAGAAGATGTGACTGAGTAATGTTAGTCAGGGAAAAAAGAAAATATTATAGGCTCTAACAAAACACAGATTTATAAAAGGAAAAGCAACAAAGTTTTGGCAACTAAAACTGATGAGACAATAAATTTACCAATTCAATGGCCTTTAGAAGCCGGCGGCACATTCCTTGCCGTCTGTACATATAGCGGGTACCAATAAATGGCATCTCTGCTAGTTTATTCCCATGGATCCTATTTGATGAATTAAGATGAAATGTCATCAGAAATTTTTCACCAGATAGGAAGGGAGAGGGTAGTACAGCTATCCAAATGAAATTGTTTAGGTATATGGCAGAAAATAAAGGACAGAGTTAATGATTATATCTTATCAATAAAAGGACAGCTCTCACGAAAAATGTCAAGTTATCAAACAAGTTAAATATCCTACAATCGGGACGTTATTGTCATGAAAATGAAGGTTTTGCAATAGTAGACCCAAATAGTTAGTCGATGGCTATGTTGAATGGATATGGGCATGCAGTATGGCAAAATTTCTAAAATGTAGGCAAAACCACAGCAGGATATATTATAATTTATTATGCATACAACAGTTTGATGTAAAAACAATAATGTAATTAAATCACAAGTATTTTAATCAACCTATTAAAGTTTATAGACGGTACAAGTTATGAAGGGAGAAACATAGCAATTTATTTCATTTATTAACAAACTAAATCACTTTGTAACAGAAGTTAAGGTTTCATATCAACTAACTCATACCTAAGTGATAAGTGACTGTTCAGCATATAGCCGTGTAATTCTAGTAAGGACAAGCATTATAAAAAAGGTCAACTTCGATTACATCTTTGTGAGATACCTAAATAACTTTTCATAAATAAGAATATGCTTGAAATTCAAAAGGGCCAAAAATCAATGAACTAAACTGTTTGCAGTCAAAAATACTAATAGATTGTTTTGCCACACAATTCCATAAGCACTCTTCAGTCTGCAACTATGTGTAAACAAATGTCAAATTAAAGTAGGCATTTACCTGATAGATGCAGCAGCAATTATCTCATCACCTCTCTCTAGAACTGCAGTAACAAATCCACTATAGCTCAGACGATTGAAATTTGACCTGACAAGATAAATGCTTTCCGTTATGTTGTTACTAGCATGTGTAGTCTAAAAATTATACCAATACATCATACATTAATGTTTGAGATACATGAAACAAGGTCCCGTTGTTTATTTTCCTTAATTTAAAAATACTTCTGAAAGTTTAAGATAAGATATCACTGTGCATGAGAAACTTTCAAATATTATGAGATTGAGAAATAATTATCAAATATGAATGAGCAATAAATAGATCATGGATTCCATAGAAATCATCTTGACATGGATTCAATTACTGAACATGAATCTAGAGATTTTTTAAACTATTTATATGGTGGACTAACAATAGCAGTCATTGAACAATGACACAAGTTTGCAGAACAAGTGTAACCCCAGCTTAGTATTACCATTGGACATTAAAATTGTCAATTATAAATTTGCAAAGATATCTAAATGCCCCACAATAGGACTACACCTTTGGGGTTGCAACTTATAAGACCACCTTTTCAAGAGGACCCCAATGTGTAGGCAGTTAAACCACGAAGGATAAAACTACAACATATATAAATCTGTCCGTTCATCTCATCCACTTAATGAATCTTAGCAAGGGATAATGTCAAACTGATCATGAATTTCCAAAAAGGGGAATACACAGTAGATTCCCAATAATGTAATTTTCCACCTCAATGCCTAGGAATTATACATGTATATTTCACAAATATAAAATATTAAAATCTGTTACAATCTTTGTTGAATTTCTACATATGAATGCAGCCACCAGCTTATGAGAAATGGTTGCTATCATAGGAAATAAGCTCATTAGACACATTTGTTGCAGTAGATTGAACGCAATCAGTAACATCAAGAATTTTGGAAGAGGACAAGGATAAAAGCACATTAATTAAATGATAAGTATTTTGAAACTTCATATCTATTATCATATTTTAATTACACATCCATACATTTATAAGGTCTAGCCAAAAAAAAAAAAAAACCTTCAACATTTACATCCTCCTTTATTAAAATTATTATTCTGTGTTTCCCACCATTGCACTAATTTAGTTTCAACAGAGTATTCACAAATTTTCATTCACAAATCATATGATAGATTTTAGTTCTCATACCTTTTATTGAAAAACTCAGACCTCATATAATACAATATTTCAACTTAACCAATTAGACACACATAAAAAGGGTTGTTGGCATAATCAACCAGGCGTTACACACTAGAAAAGTGATTAAAAGAATGTGAATAGAAGAGCAAAGATGGCCTTACCCACGATTATACAGAATACTGTGGATCAGATTGACCCCACTTCTATGATCAATATATGGCATGAAGCACTCATCCATTATTGATAATGCAACAGCCAACTTAGAATTACATTCAATCGTCTGAGGTTTTGTCATAGAAACATCAAAGCCAACATCTGACCGTCGTATAAAAGTCCAAGAATATCCATCTTCAATTTCATGTTTAACCCCAAGGAGCATTTCAAGTCTCTCAGATAACTGGAGGAAAAAATAACAAATAGAATTAGTTTGGTGACAATTGTACGAAAATGTTCTCCAGATTTAACAACTACCATGGACCAGGAAGCAAAAATCAATTTACTACACCAAATAATCAAACATTAACCCATTACAAGCAGCAATCGAGACATCTGTTTAAAAGTAGATTATACCTCTTGACATTTGTTTCCGCAAAATAACACATCACTGGTGTCAATAGTATTGGAATCATTTGTCTCAATAAAGGATCTGTGATCTACAAAAGTAAAAAAAATTATATTCATTTCAATCAAGGAAAATCTACTGCTACTCCACTTGAGAAATGAGTATCTACTAAACAAAAGAATATATGTATGTATGTATGTTTGGGACATACATTTTTGCTCACATAGTCGGCAAGTGAGTAATTTTGACATAGGAAGTTCATCATCAGCATCCTTTTGGTTTGAACAACATCCATTAACTGACCCACAAAATTTACAACAGCAATAAATGCAGTGCCAGTCACCAGATGGAAACTTCTGCAAGCAGAAAACAAAAAAGATCATTTACTTTGCACCAAACTATTTTCCATATGCAGATATGACATGGATACATCAGAAAACTAAAGGTATATAACTAACAATAAGATTTTCCCGTGATTTCTCACAAAATGTTACAGGAATATCCATCTCAAATTTCTAACAATGAATATCTTATTATTAGAAGACAATAATTAGGTTGTCTAGGTAGTGAATCATCTACGCCACATACAGCCAATATATGTGACTGGCAAGAACATGTGCACTGTAAATCTCTGTCAAAACAAGCTGATCCAGGATAACTTCAGTATTTAAAAAAAAATGACCGTGAGTCACTAAATTATGCAATAAAATTACAAGAAGTTTAAGTTGGTATAAATACAAGTCATTTATCTGTCATGACTCATGCTACACTAAATAATATGCAACAACTAGGTAATTCTTAACAAACTGACTTATCTATCCTAATAAGAATTTCACAATGAAACAGTTCTGCTTAGATTAATCGTATAAAAATTACTTTAAAATGACCATGACTGCACATTAAAATACATACTTTTATATCCAAACAGTCCTGATGGAATGTTGATGGGCAACCATCACAACATATCAGGTCTCCACCATCTCCACAGATCCCGCAAGTATCATCATTTGGATCTTCACCCGCAACATCCACAAAATGAAAACCATTGCGTTCAGATTCATCTTGTTTATTCCACGAATCTAGCAAGCATTGTAAAAGGGACATTCCTTCCTCCACATATATATTTTGCAGTGGATCAGCAAATTTGCTTCCGGCATGAACTTCAAATTCTGAAATTGTAATGATTTTATTACAGCAGCCACACTGAATGCCATCTCCTGTGATCTTACCATCCAGTATTGCACTTTTACCTTCAGGTGGCTTATAATGAACCTGCCCATTTAGAAGGACTGTGCCCAAATCAATCATCCAGGCAAGCAAAGTTCTTTTTCCACTGTACAGTACATATCCCTCCGTTTCTGAATCTATCTCCTCAGCATTACGAACTAATGGAGCATATCGGTGCTTGTTATGCGTTTTGCGTCGCTTATGATCCCTCACAAGAACAGGCATCCTGTTAGGTGATGTAGCATCTGTTTCTACAAGTGACCATTTCCTTTTCATTTTCCTCTTGATTGACTTACCCACAGCTGCACCTGACTTTTCTCTGTTCTTACTACCATTGACTCCATCAACTTTCTTTCCACCCTTTACCCCTTTTTTTACCAATTTATCTTTCCTATTACTTTGCTTGTTAATTACCTTAGTTAGGATTTTGAAATCCTCTGCTGGTATTGGTGTAAATTTGAAGCCTGGTTTATAAGCCGTACCTTCACCATTACCAGCTTCATAATACTCTTTAAGCCTCTTGTAGGCCAAGGTGATTGACCAATGTGTATGTCCGTCCAGACTAACATACACTGCATCATGGTATTCTCTACCATTCCTAGGTCTATAGTCAACAGTCCAGCCTGCAGCAGAGAGAATTTCCTTTATTTGATCCCTCACTAACTGCTTTACTTTATTCTTTCCACTTTTCTCAGAGACAAGTGCATTATCGTTATTTGATCTTAATGGCGAGGCCACCACTTCGTTGCCAGTTTCCGAAGCCTTACTAAATTTTGTGCTCTTGACAAGAGAGATTTCCTTCTTTTCTAACTCATCCCCAGCAGACTTCCTTGAATTGGCATCATCAACTGCATTCACATTTGCACCATGTTTCATAGTTAAACCTTCTTTATTTTTTCTAAGGCCAGCCTTCCCTTTTATATTCTGCACCACCACATGGTTTTTTTTGCCAGCCGAAGGGGGTCTCCCACGCTTACGTGGCAACTGATCAACTGATTTAACTTCTACTTTCAAATCTATATTGGGAGACTGATCACCTGGTTGATCTTCCACTTTCACATCTATTCTGGGAGGCCTCCCGCGCTTCCGTTTCAAATCCCCCCTGTCATTCCCTGCCTTCTTCACCTTAGCCTTTTCATTCTCACAACTGTCAGCCAAAAACCCATCAGCTTCTTCACATTCCTTCTTAACTTTCATACTCTCACTCCCACTACATTCTCTATCATTCTCAGAAACAACATCCTCATTCTCTCCATAATACACTCTTCTATCCTTCCCCCCGTTAGACCTTGAGCGCAACACTCTACCCCCAACCAGTACTTCATTATTTGAACCTTGTTCCTTCTTTGCTTTCCTATCTACCTCAGCAACTACAATACTACCTCCACCACTAAAACAACTCCTACTACTCCCATTCTCATCCAAGTCAACATCTCCACTCGCACTCAAGTTCAAATCAAAGCCACATTCTTCTTTCACATCACGTTCGACTTCATCCTTCTTCTCAATCTTTGAGTTCTGCACCTCCAAACGCTCACCATCCAAATCAACAGCTTCGCTCTTCACAACAACCTTTTTCTTGTGAACAACTCCTTCGCCACCAGAAACCGTCCCCAACCGCGTCCGCGATCTCAGCCCCTCTCTCATTCTCCCGGAACCCTAATTCTACAAACACCGTATAGTATAGTATTAGGGTAAACCAAAAGAAAACCCAAATGCATAAAATACCGATTCCATTCTAACCAGAAAAACTACAGGAACAGTTGTGCAGATGAATCAAAACGTATGCGAGGTTTGTATCCCAATCGGTCTCTGCAACTCGCTTCAAAAAGCAGGCCGTTAAGGAGAAATCGAAGAGAAAGGTCAGATCAGCATGAAACGCTTGCAAAGGTTTGGAAGCTTACCAATGTGCGAAAAATTGCAAGAAATTCTACGAAACCTAGACCTCCACGCAATGAATCATTCTGTTCCGTGGAAGTAGAAAGGGTATGGCGTACCAAGATTGCTTTGGAATTCAAGGTTTTAGAGCGAGAAAGCGAGGAATAGAGAGAGACACCAAGAGGGGTTTAGGAGAGTGAGATAGAAGACCCACGATTGACGATACAAAAATAAATAAATATATACGTGAGAGAGAGCGCGTGTTGAAACTTGGCACTTTCCTTTTTTTTCTTTCTTTTTTCAGAAAACTTGTTAATCAAATATATGGAGCCAAATTAGGTTTGTTTGATATTTAAAAAGATAAATAATCCGTTGAAGGAAAAAAATGAGAAGATATTCTCTTTTCATATTTTAGTGGGAAAAAATAGAATGGTGTCTTTCTATGATGGTTGTGGCGGTGAGTCCTTAACTATTGGCGGCAGTGGTGGTGGTTTCCATTTGCATTCTTCAAACCTAAAACCCCCCTTATTTTGTCAAGTCCAATAACCTTTTAGCTTCCTTTTCCAACAGTGGCATCTTCAAACCCAGCATTTGTTTTTCCTACACCCAAATAATTGTTAACAGGACATCAATATCATAGCCTTATATAATTTATGCAATGGATAAAAATTGTGAAAATAAAATGGAGGATGGTCAGATTTGTACTAATACATCATATCATTTCAAAATTTTTATACGATTTATCCACATAAAAATCAAATCTTTAAACTATTTTCATCATTATATTATATTTAAAAAATATTTAATTATTATGTCATTTATTATCATTATTGTTGATTCGTAATATATAGTAATTGTCATAATTAACGTTATCAGTTTATCATTATTATCACTTTCAATAATAATTCTTCTCACATAGTCCAGAATTCTAGTATTTTAGGCATAAAAAATTTGTATATATAATATTCTTAATACTACTTTTTTATTATTATATATTAGTGGGTGATTTGTGATGTTTCCCACACTTAAGATATCACTTATCCTTTATAACTTTTTTTTACTATTCACTAATAAAAACTATAATTTTTTATTTAGTTAAAATTAAAAAAATTCAATTTAAAAATTAATATTTGTTTATTAATATTCCCTTCATCATAAGACTTAGAGTAAGCGAAGAGTAGATAATAATTACTCTATAAAGATGAACAAAGAAAAATATGTGTTTTTTTATAATTAATAAAAGAATATGTTATTTTTCATTTATATATATATATATATATATATATATATATAATAAAAAATATAAGAAAAAAATGTAATTTTGTAAAACTGTCCTCCTTCAATACGAATTTTTTTATGTACTTATTTATTTATATATTATATTGGTTTTTAATTATGTTATTTTGTTTGAATAAATATGAAAATAATTCTAAAAATTAAATTAATAATTTTATATATTATTTAATATGATGTTATTTTATTAATTTAAATTTAAATATTTTATAATGAAAATATTTGATAATTATATATCAAAATATATATTATTAAAAAAAATATTTTTTAAGGTATTAATTGAAATAATTATTTTATTTATAAAAAATAATTAATAATTATATGAATAATTATTTAATTTTAATTTATTTATTTATAATTTTTAAATTATTATTTTTCTTTTATATTTATTTATTTTATGTCAATTTTCTTTTATATTTTCTTTTTTTTCTCTTCTTTTTATTATCAAAGCAACTTTAAAAAAATTTGTCAGTAATTTCATTTATACTTATAGAATTATTTTTTTTCACATGCAGTTTTTTGTCGTGAATTGTCATCTGATAATTTTACATTAGACATTGTTTTTGAAATAATTATCGTGCTGTGCATGTAGAAGTAAACAGTCACGTCACTTTTTTTTTCTAAATTTATTCCCCAAATGGATGAGTCTTAAAAAGAAGAAACAAACAAATTGAGACAAGTTGAAAGCATATCCTTATAATTCTTGTTACTATTTATTTATTAGAGGTTTTGTTTGATTTATAAATTATAATTTTGTGATTTGTTATTTGTTTAATTGTTTAATTGTTGAAATAACTTTTAAATCATTTAAAACGGAAAATAAATAAATAAATTGAAACTGAAATTAAATCTCAACAATGTTTCTTTATGAATTTTTAGTTAAAGATTCTAAAATTTGTGTTCAAAAGCTAGAAAAATCTAGACCCCGAAAGGCAAACGAGAATTAAGATTATTTCCATAGAAGTGAATATTCCCGGACATGAAAATAAATATATTAGCGAATAAAAATAAATAAATACACATAATTTAATATTTTATTTTATTATTAGACATTTATTATCAACTATATGATAGAGAGGAATACAATAACTAAAAATATTAAATTATTTGACGAAAATAATTTATTTAAACTTGTAACTGAAGAATAACAATAATAAAAAAATATAAGAATAATCACAATAAGAAAATATTAATATTTTTAACGAAAATAATTTATTTAAACTTGTAACTGAAGAATAACAATAATAAAAAAATATAAGAATAATCACAATAAGAAAATATTAATATTTTTAACGTGAAAAAAATTGATGAGTCAATCAATTAAGTTTTATTGAGATTAAATAAAGAATAAAGTAATAGAATAAATAAAAATTCACGAGTCAATCAATTAATAGGATGTAAAAATTCAAGAAAAGAAAATCAAACGAGTCAATCAATTAATAGGATAAGTAAAAATTCAAGAAAGAAAGATTAAACATACAAATCAGCTAATATATCAAAGCAATAATACATTCAAATATAAAGAGTAAAGAAGAAATATAAAATATTAACAATAGTTTGAGATTGACTTATCCAATCAAAGACATCCAAATAACAATCCTAATTATCAAAATGAAAAACCATATTGTCAAAATTTCATCCAGATTCAATGGTGAATATAGCGAAAATCATAATTTTACTAAGACAACTTAGTAAATATGTCAACCAATTTTTTCTTCTTTTTTTCTTCTAAAAACTGCAAAAATTTACATTTTTTTCTGACCTAGAAAACTCATCTCCACTTAGATTAAGTGAGATAAAACATGTTTGCCTGATTTAGACCTTTTAGACACATAGTTGGAAATCTAACTCAACACATCTCTCCCTTCCTATAGTTGGGAGTCCCTCACCAATCTAACAATTTCACAACAAGTTTTTTAAAATTATGTTTTGATAATGTCTTAGTCATCATATAAGCATTATTGTCATATGTTTTAATTTTATCTAACTCGAACAAGTTAGCATAAAAAATATCACATATCAAATGATATTTTACATCAATATGTTTGGACCTAAAATGCAAAGTTGAATTCTTATCAAAATAAATAGTTTTTTTATTGTTCGCAAATAATGGATAATTGTTCTACACAAAGTCAAGCTCATGCAAGAAAATATTCAACAATAGCAACTTCTTGCATGTTTTTGTAATGACAATAAACTCTACCTTTATAATTTAAAATGTTATGCACATTTGCAGTATTGATTGTCAAGCTATAACTATCCTTGCAAACTTAATCAAATAGCCTGAATTGGATTTTATGAAATTCATATCTCCAACCATATTTGAGTATGAGTAACCAATCAAAGTAAGTTTATCACCTCTAAAACAAAGCATCAAATCATTAGTACCATGAAGATACCTTAAAATCCATTTTATAACATTTCAATGTTATTTAACTATATTGAACACAAATTAACTATATTGATACAAATACCTACTTATAATGATTGAGTTACTATAATAAAAACATCAAGGTAAGGAACTCTAAGTTTATCCTATTTTATTAATTTCTCCATTTTTGTATAAATTATGACTCCAAAAAACCATACACATAATTAGTCATTTACTAATTTGATAATTCATTTAACATCATAAAATAATGAAAATAGTTGTTCATTATACCTTAATAATTAGTGAAATTTAAATCATAAAATGAATAGTTAAGATATACTTACTTGATCCAAAATTATAATATTTAGATAATTGTTTACTATTTACTAATTGTAAGACATCAATATGATAATGTAGAGGGGGAGGTTTTTTGTTGTTTATCCTAAGCTTCTAGGCAACTTGATAAGATTATAATGTAAACTTGTGAGCTAATAAACAACAATTCAAGGATGAGATTTTTGTAGGCCTACTAAGCATGTATAACCAACCAAATTCTCTAGTTGCACAAGATCCTAAGATCTAAAAACAATGAATATTAACATATATATAAAAGTTAAATGACATAAAATTATGAAAGTTAAAAAAAATATGTATTTTGCTCAAAATGAACCTTACTAAATATCTAATATAAACATAGATAAGCATTAAAGGTTGTTAGGGTTTACCCCATTAACATCACTTATTTAGTGGACACATGAACTTGTTCAATATCTCGAACATCTTCAATCACCACTCAAACTAAGTTAAGTGTCAAAGACACATTACAAATGGTTGTATGCCCCACTTGATTTGTATCAATGGTCACCAAATGTGGATAGATCGAATTGTCATCAACCCATAATACATGCCAATTTGACTAATCAATATTAGTAACTTCCTATGAAAATCATCAGCAATTGTGTTAACTCAAAGCTCATTATTGTTGCAGAATGACATGGGCTTATTACTTTTTAGGGTTAAAATGTGAGAACTAAAAATTGATTTATGAAAGATACAAAAGTATAACCAAACTGAAAGAAAAGTATTCATGATGTAACACAAAGCAAACCTTAAACCTAAAATTAATGTGATGCAAATTAAAGGTGAGAACTTGTGATGAAGGTTCACTAAGGGACACGACACAAGGGAGGGAGAAGGGCAACTAGAACGAAGAGCAACAACAAGAGAGGACAAAACTCACGTGTGATTAGGTATGTTTGGGTGGATGTTAAGTTTGGGCTTTAAGGTGGGGCTAGGCTTGGCTCTTAGCTTCTTATGCATATGTGGGTTGCAATGGATAAAACTTGTTTAGTATGTAAGTTATTTGGTCCAAGTATAAATGACCTACATTCAAATGACAACATGAGTGAAAGTGAGGGTAAGCATGAGAGAAGAGAAATGATTTTGTGAATAAGAAGGGTTTGTCAATAAGGAAAGAAAATGATTAGGCATAGGTTCATCAAATAAATAAAGTAGTTATATGTTTTGGAAGAAGAAGAAGATAACATAGGATAAATTAAAAACTATTTTACATTAGTTGTATCATAAATAATGTATAAAGTACCATTCAATATAAAAAATGAGTCGACATCGAATAGTATTTTCTATGGATTACCATGTAATGATGAAAAAAGTTGTAAAATGTTACAAGTTTGCCACAACACTTATTCGATTATTAAATAACTAATTTAGAATGATATCATGGAATACAAATTTTGTAGTTTATTAAATGAGATATGTTAATGGTCCTACAGATAACCTTGGTAAATATTTTTAATCGTCACATTTTATTTTTGTAACTTTTTCAATAAGGAGGTATAATATAGAACTTATTTTTTTTGTTCAAAACTTCGTCCAACTTTACTTTAATTATCCATAAATTAGGAATGAAGTTAAATCTTAATATTTTATGAAATTATAAACTAAGTGTTTAGTATATATGATTATTTAGTAAGTGTTATCAACCACTACAAATGGAATGGGTAAAAGTTTGCAAATAAATAAAACTATATTGACTTCACTATAAAACCTATGAAAAGCTTAATTAAGTACTTAAAAAAAGTACAATAAAATTTGAATCACAGACAACCTAAATTCATAATTAATGATTTAATTATGTATAATATTATAAAGATATTAACTAATGTTCATATATTGAAAATTATTTTTTGTAAATCTTAATTTCATTTTAGTATCATGATTGCATTGTATGCAATACTTACAAGTTTTACTTGAATCAATTATAATAGCCCAATCACTATTCAATCCTGGAAGCAAGCATTCTGGCATCTGTTATTCCTGGTCTCACCTGTGAAGCAAAGTAGGACAAGGGAGAAAGACATGGAATTAATAGGGAACCGTAGCCAAGTGGCTAAGGCATGAGTCTGCAAGACTTCTATTCGTCGGTTGGAATCTGACCGGTTCCTACAGCGTCGCGCCATTCCACCCATCATTTTTTTAAACCTATCAATGTTAAGCTTTTCCACAAACTTTAACGTGATCACTTCCACCAAAATAATAATTTATTTTGGTAAAATTATCTAACATGCAATCATCATAAAATGTGAAAAGAAAAGTCTCACATAAGGGAAATCTTAATTTGGTGCTTACTTTTTTTACTATAAAAGAAACACAGTATTTACCTTGTAAAACACATCCAATCACTTCTTTTTCTTTCTCTTGTTGTTTTAGTACTTGAGAGATAAATTAAGAGAGAAAATTACTTTCTCCTTTTAGATTCTCTTAGAGTTGTTTTTTCTTTATTTTTAGGAGACAGTGTTATTGTTTCCTCCTTGAAGGTAGAGAGAGAAGGGTTGTAATTTCTTTCATTAGTGAAATTACTCTTTTGCCTATTGTCGGTGTTTTTCTCATCTTTTTATTTTAGTTGTATGTGTTTATGCTTTTGTTTGATACCTAACAGTGGTATCAGAGTCACTAGGTTGTGATATTGGTCTTCTGCTGCATAGTCATTAGAATAGTGTTGGAGAAAATTCTTAGTATGCTATGTGGTTGTAGTTAATCTTATCTTCCACATCAGAAAAAAGTTATTCTTATTACTGGATATTATTTGGTAGTGTGATAGTACATGTCTAGGAAAAGTTTTGGCAAGGAAAGACTTGGTATTTAAGCGTGTCCATTAGTGACCCATCTCTCTTTCCTAGGAACTTACCTGGTGTACTGATTCACGATCTATCGTTGTTGTTCCAATAGGCAATATTATTCATAGTAAGGATTGCATAAGTCGATTTAAAACCATGACAACAAAATATGAGATAGAGAAGTTCAATGGAAGTAATTTTTGATTGTGGAAATTGAAGATGAAGGCAATTTTGAGGAAGGACAATTGTATTGATGCAATTACGGAAAGAACCATGGAACACACGGATGGACGACGATGGAAAGAAATAAATGACAATGTTATTGCGAATTTTCACTTATCAATGACAGATTCGGTTTTATCCACTGTTGCGGAGAAGACTACTAAGAAGGAGATTTGGGATAACCTTATTAAACTATATGAGGTGAAGTCACTTCACACAAGAATATTCTTAAAGAGAAAACTCTATAATCTTCGGATGAGTGAGTCCACATCAGTGATAGACCACATCAACCATTTGAATACCTTATTTGCGCAACTATCAGTGGCAAATTTCAACATAATTGAAAATGAGCGTGCAGAGCTTTTACTTCAGAGTTTACTTGATTCGTATGATCAACTCATCATCAATATTACAAATAATAATATTGATGGGAATATGCACTTTGAGGATGTCGCCAGAGCTATTCTTGAAAAAGAATCTAGGCGAATGAAAAAGGGTGAAAGTTCCAAACAAGCAGAGGTTTTGACAATGATGAGAAGAAGATCAACGGAACATGGCTCGAGTAATGATAGATCGAGGTTTCAAAGTAAGAAGAGTTCTAAAATCAAATATTACTTTTGTGGCAAGAAAGGGCATACGAGAAAAGAGTGTTGGAAGAGGAAGAATGGAGGAAACAACTCTGAAGAATCAACCTCACAATGTTGTGTTGTAAGTACCTCAGAAGATGGAGATATTTTGGTGAGCGAAGCAGTACTTAACTCTAATGGTGAAAAAGAGTTTCATGACAAGTGGATAGTGGATTCAGGTGCAACATGACACATGACTCCGCACCGAGATTAGTTTCACACTTATGAACTATTCTCAGGTGGATCCGTCTTCATGGAAAACAACTATAAATTAGAGATTACTAAAGTTGGTACCGTCAAAATTAAAATGTATGATGGTATTGTTCGCACAATTCAAGGGGTACGACATGTGAAGGACTTAAAGAAGAATCTATTGTCTATTGGGCAATTAGATGACCTCAGGTATAAGATCCATGTTGAAGGTGGAATCTTAAAGGTGGTGAAAGGGAGTTTGGTGGTCATGAAGGCAAAGAAGATCATGACAAATTTGTATGTGTTTCTTGGAGATATGTTGCAAGAAGTGGATGCATCAGTTGCGGCAACAAGTCAGGAATATGCAGTGATCATGTGGCATCATAGATTTGGTCATATGTCAGAAAGTGGTCTGAAAATCCTTGCAGAACGTAATTTCTTACTCGGGCTTAAAGAGGTTAGTTTAACCTTCTGTGAGCACTGTGTGATAAGTAAGCAACATATATTAAAGTTTGTTAGAGTGACTGCTAAAAGTAAACACATATTGGACTTGATTCATTCTAATGTGTGGGAATTGCCGTCAGAGGAGCAAAATATTTTGTATCGTTCATCGATGATTACTCCAGGAGATTGTGAGTGTTAGATATTGTTTAGATATTGTTTGATATTATTAAAATATTGTTTGATATTGTTAAGAGATTGTTAGATATTGTTAACCACAATATCAAACAATATATCTTTTGTTTATTCTGTTTACTTTCAGTTATTCTTTTAGTTGTACCTCTCTCTATTATAAATAGATTACCCTATGTGTGGTTTATACACAAGAGAGATTAATCTCAAACACTATTTTCTCTATATTCAACATGGTATCCAGAGCTTAAGGTTATTTTGAAATTTTTTTCACCTTTGTCTACTGCTGGAGCCGCCACTGCCAGGTAAACTAATCTTCCACATCAGAAAAGAGTTATCTTTGTTATTATATATTATTTGGTAGTGTAAAAGTGTATGTGTAGGAAGGTTATGATAAGGAAAGACTTGGTATTTAAGTGTATCCATTAGTGACCCACATCTCTTTCCTGGGAACTTATCTAGTGTACTGGTTCACGCCGCTGTCACCGTCGCCACCTCTGCCGCCGTCGTTGCCGCAATCACTAGAGTACTCGCCGGAACTATCGTCGAAGTTTCATTTTTGACCAGTGACATACATTTTTGTTCGTCTCGGTCAGGTGACCACCATATCGTTGAGATCACCACTATTGGAATTGGTCGTCCGTTGTCTCCTACATCGTTTAGTCTCGACAGACTTGTTTTGGTCTTCTCGTTTTGGATCTATGCTTCGTGGGTTTATTAGATTACTTTGGATTTTTTTAGGGTTTGTTCTCCCTCCCTTCATGACTGCTTCCAATCATTCTACTACTTCCAATTCTGTTAATGATTCTTCTACGTTGGCATCTCACCGTGATGATCGGACTCGCCCTCGCAAATAGGTAAAAGGGCGTTCTAAGTGTGAACATTGTGGAAAACTAGGTCACAAGATTAACAAGTGTTATGCGTTACATGGTCGTCCTCCTCGATCTGTTACAGTTGTTCAGACTAATCTTTCCCTGTTGGGGATCCTTCTTCTTCTATTACATCTGACACACCTGCTATGTTTAACAAATTTCTCAAATGGTATAAAGACCAATAGTCTTCTAGTTCCACTATGTTTGTCGCACATACAAGTACATATTTTGCTGGTCTGACCTAATCCTCTTCTCTTGGTCCTAAAGTTTTTGATTCAGGAGCCATTGATCATATTACTGGTAACAAATCTTTGTTCTCCTCTTTATCCTCTCCTAATCCTTTACCTTCTGTTACACTGGATGATGGCTCTAGAGTATCATCTCATGGTGTTAATACTATTAAACTTTTCCCTTCTTTAACCATTGATAATGTTCTTTATGTCCCTGAGTCTCCTTTTAACCTGTTGTCCATCAGTCATCCAACTTGTTCTCTTGATTGTGTTTTACCAACAATTCTGTGTGTTTACAAGACTAGAGTTCGAAAAAGGTGATTGGCACATGATGTGAATCTCATGGTGTCGCCACCGTCAAAAGAGGCGGTCGGAGCGACGCGATGGTTCTGACTTCTGTTTCGCGTTTTAAAAGGGTGACGTTACAACGCGTTTAGGTTGTCCGATAACCGGACTGGACCTAAGAGCGAGGTTTTAGAAAGGGAGCTTTTAGGTTGTCCGATAACCGGGCTGGACCTAAGAGCAAGGTTTTTCGAAGAGGGTTCTTATGGAGTCGCCACCGATGTTTTTACCGAAAACATCGGAAAAGGAAAAAAAGAAGGCGTTGGTTTTTTAAAAAAAACCAACCTTAGCCATTATAACCAGAGTTGGGTAAGGGAGTTAGTTACGTGTGGGGAAGGTTTTAGCACCCCCACAACGCCCCTTTCGGGTTCCCTATGATAGGCCAGTTATTTCATAAATAAACTTTAAAATGACGCTTTTACCCTTTTATTTGCGGAATTAAGAAAATAATGACTACATGGCCCTAGTAGCTAATGTACAGATAAATATAAATAAGAAGGCGGTAAAAGAGAGGGAGAAAGTGAAGAAACCTCCGGAGCAAGATTTCTTGATTAATTCTCTTAAAATAGGACGCTTTTTGGCAGCCATTCGCTCTACAACGTCGGTCGCTCTTTCTTGCAATGTAAAAAAAACTCTTTAAGAACACTCAGAAAACTCCGAAAATGCTTCGGAGGGGCTCTAGGAGAAGAATTTGAAGAAATGATAGAAGGAAAAGTTGAAGAACTGTGTGAAAAGAAGGGGAGAGCGCCCTCCTTTTATAGGGATTCGCGTCTGTTAGGTCGGGATCGTCGTCTCGCCTAGCAAGGTCAAGACGGTCGTCTCGCCAAATGGGGCGGTCGTCTCGCCAATCGAGATGGTGGTATCGATTTGTCAAATGGCGAGAAGGTCGTCTGGCCAAACGGGAAGGCGGTCTCGCCATGGCAAGTGGCGAGACAACCGTCTCGCCAAATGAGACAGCAGTCTCGCCCTTTGCTGATGGCGAGATGGCAGTCTCGACCTTTCAGATGAAAATTCTTATTTTTTCTGTACAAAAAACCTTCCTACTCTAATATGGGGCCTATTAGTCTGACCTAGGGACCTTTTAGGACTTCCCCATCTTTGAATTGGAG